CAGAGCACACCTGGAAACCTCACCAATATCATATCAGATGGGAAACAATCCCTGATTTTCTGGAGTTTAATCAGGGCATGGACACAAACACGCAATGGCAACTGGTACTTCCAACAGGGAAGCTCAGCCTTGGCTCCTGCCCTGCTGACACATCCCAGCCTCCCTTTGCAGGGGTGTCTTGGCCAAGATAAGGCACCAAAACTCTCATTAATTCTCGGTGTATTTATAACTCTTAATGAAACCAGAGGAGGGAAAGCAGGAAACTTCAAGATGAAAAGGGCTCATCTGCATTTCGTTATTTCCCAACTCAGCTTTAGATAATCACAAGCAGGGAGCAAAACAATCCCTGCCAGTGCAGGAGGAATAAATGCAGCAGGGTTTGCTTCATGGGTAATTAAAGTGCTTTACACAAAGGGTGTCTCAGCCCCTCCAGGCATCCAGGAGAGGGTATAAATACTCTCTCCACACCAGGCTTTCCTTTACTGCTCCTCTTGACTTGTTCTCTCCGGTTCCCTGAGTAAGTTTGACTTAACAGCTCTAAAAACCTCGAGTTTACTTGGGCTTTTGCATGAATTTGTCATTAAAACCGGGACTAAACCCCGCAGAAATATTCTGGCTCACAGAGATTTTAGGGAGCACCTTGCTGCAGGTGATTTCTAGGCTGGGGAAAGGGGGGGGAAATAAAAGCAAGGGGTTTTCAGGGCTGGTTTGGGATTTTAAATTCACGGGGAAATTCTGAATTTCAGTCTCTTGGTTCTGAAAAACTTTTAGGAGAGCTCTGAGAACAGATTTTAGGATTGGGTTTGCATGTGTGGCACAATCAGGGGATGAGGTTTTAGGATTGGGTTTGCATGTGTGGCTCGATCAGGGGATTCAGCAGTGGTTGGGTGGGGAATTCGTGGATAACTATGGAAGCAAAATCCTTGTTGGAAGTTAACTTGGTGTGGCTCCATTGCTCTTATTTTAATCTGCCCATCCCTAATTTAATTGGAGTCCCAACAAGTGATGATTAGAGACCATTAAGGGAACTTTCATTTCTAACTATTAAAACTTTGCCAGCATTTGAATGTGCTTATCCAGACATTAAATTCAGCATCTTTGTGGGTCAAAGCTCCCCTTTAACCTAAGGGGATTTGGGAGAAAATGCCCTCCTTGGGGTTTTTGCCTTTTTTTTTTTTTAATTTTCAGAGTTATGCCTTTAATTTACAAGCTTAAAAAATATTCTGCTGCTCCACCAAGCTTTTATGTGAGGCTTTAACCTGAAGAAATAAACATTATTAAATAGGTGTCTCCTTGCTGAAGCTGCAATTTTCTTAGTTGGGGTGACAATTTAATATTTTAATTTATATGTTTTATTTATTAAATGAGTATTTAATGCTCCCACTCATTCCCAGCCTTTCATTTTTTTTATCCTGTGTTTTAGTAGAGTGTTTTATGCCTGAAAAGAACAGGAATGCGCAAGGAAAATAATACAGAAAATGAAGCAAGGTGCTTAATTAACAGCTTATTCCCATGAAATACATGGAAAATCCAGAATTTTTTCCCCCCTGTGGCCCATCTGGGAAATGCGGGAGGCAGGAACTGCCCCGGGAAGTTGTGTGGGAGGAAAAGAGATGCTGTGGGAACAAGTTCAGACGCGTCTTCAGGACCCATTCCAAAGGAGTGGGAGGTTTCAGAGCAGATGTGGGGTTTGGGGGTGACACCCAAAGAATGGGGAGGAGTTTTGCTCCCAGAGGAGGAGAAGCAAAGAGGGAAAGTTTAATGCAGCAAATTAAAATGGAGAAATAGGTGGAGGTGAAGTAAAAGGTGGTAAATACAACAAAAGGAGCTCAACTTTGTCTTAATCCAAATGATCTCTGTCTAAAATGTCAATAACCAAGTGGGGGGGATTTTTGTTGCTTCAGGGTTTTAGTGTTTTTTTTTAATTCTGCAAATAAATCAAAAGGAGGGGGGAAAAGCATCTTTTTCTACTCCTAAGCCCATCCTTAGTTAAGTCCTGTGACTCCCATACCCATCTCTAAAAGAGCTCCTCGTTCTTGGCTTCTCTGCTGCCAAAAACTGCAGTTTGAGCTTCATCTTCTGATTTATTCCAAAGTGAGTGGTGACTTTGTGGCAAAACTGTTAACTTGTGAGCAGCAAGGATCTCCAGGCTGCATTGAAGAGCATTTAATAGAGTGGAAAAGCTAAGTTTTTAAGGTGAAAAGCTCATTTTCCAAGGTGAAAAGCTCTCAGTTGAATCAGAAAAGCGCATTTTTAACCGGGACATTTTCAGACCTGTCACCTGCTTTAAAACTCTCAGCCTGGGACCCGATGGTCCTTGTGGGTCCCTTCCCACTCAGAATGTCCTGTGATTCTGTGAAATCCCGGGCACACAGTGAAAGGGGATGTTCAGGTTGGGTTTCAGGAGAAGGTTTTTTGCCCAGAGGGTGAAACGGGGATGGCCACGGCCCC